GCCCCGCGCCCCAGCGCGCATCGCCGGCGGGAGTGAGGGAGGCCGGGGCTGCGCTCCGCCCTGGGGACGGGAGGCTCAAAAATCGGGGAAAAAATGTCCCAGCGTCGGAAAAAAGCCGGCCGTCCTGGTTGCGACGGGCGACGGAGCGGGCCCGAGCCGCGTTCTTCTGGAAAACCGGCAAATGTCGGGCTGTCCTGGGTGTGACCTCTCGGAGGGAGCCCCTGCCTGTCCCACAGCCTGGCTGCGCCTTGAAAAAGCGGTTTTAGGATTTGGTTGGTTGGTTTGTTTTTTAAATGAACGCCGGCCCTGCGGTGTGTTCGACGTGTCTGCGGAGATCTGCGCGGATATACACACATACATACAGACACACACACACACACACACACACAAAGTGTGCTACGTCTCATGGCATAGATGTGTGCGTGTCTCCAGATAATGAAATGTTCATTCCCGTAAAAAGGAACATCTAAGCCCCAGACCCATTAAAGTCCCGGCTATTTTGTTTTGTAAATTTGTTTTACGGCCCCTTATCCCTGCGCCCAGGACGGATGTGCAGTAAAACGGAGCCGCTCTCTAATAACGTGATTGGCCGCTCGCTGAGAAAAGTTTATTGATAGCTGCAGGGCTCTAATCTCCTCGAAACACAAGAGGCTCTTGCAGTCATTTAAGGGTAATTATCTAAACGGGGAGGGACAGCGAATTCCCTTTCCTTTTAACTGGACCCAATAAAGATGGTAGATTAGGAGCATATAGATTATGAAATGAATTGATATAATAGACATTTTATTAACTGATAAGGGACAGGACCCGATGAAATGAATTGTCCTGCACGCAGCTACACACACACGTGTCTTACACACGCGTGAGCATATACCCTGGCGGTGTGCTTGCTGCAGGTACTGTCCCGCATGTGCACATACCTGCCTTGCTCGCGCGTGCCGGGCTGTGCGCATATACGATCGCTCCAGATGAAGATGATTTGTAGGGGACTTGCAGGGTACCCCCGTGCGCTCCTATGGACTAGGGTGAGCGCACATTGCACAGACCTGCTCACCGACATATAGCTCACAGAGACACGTTCAACTCCCCTCCCGATTCGTGCCGCCCTGGTGAGCGCTCCTGCCAGGAGGGGAGCAGCGATGCCGC